AGAGGACTTGGTTCAGCTCCCAGCACCCACATAGCAGCTAACAACTGTCAGTAACTCCAGTTCCAGGGAATATGGCCCTCTCCTGGACTCCACAAGCATTGCATGACATGGTACACTTACATACATGCAGACAAAACACTCATACACATAAGATAAAAATAAGAATAAATAAATCCATTTTTAATTTCCAGACTCCAGCTTCCTTAGAAAGTGCTTCTGATTTGCCTAAAACAAATTCACTACACACAAATATCTCACTTCTATAACGTCACCCCAAAATCCTGAAGTAGCCAACCAGAGCCCATAACACTGATCCCAGATTCCTTGTTTGGCATCCAAGGTCTTGAAACCTGAGGTTGCAAAGTCAAATGCCCATGGGATTCTGTAGAGAATGTCAATAGACCGGACCAATGCGACAGGGAAAACAGACCAGGGCAACTGGGAATGTTAGGAATTGTCTCCTCAACGCAGTGGCCAGCCACCCCTCAATTCCAGATGCCAGCCACATTTGGCTACTTAAAGAGCCCCACATCCATGGGTTTTCTGGACTGTTCTCAATTTTTTAAAAACTTTGGTAGTATGTAAACTATAAGACACCTGTAGGCCAGCCATTTATGAGCCCTACCTCACACACAAACCTACACCACCTTTCCAATCTGACCCTCCCCTTCTCTTTGACAAAGTTTTCTGTTCCTGCTCACACAGCCTCAGTACACATTCCTAACTCCAGCCTTTGTTCAGTCTGTGCCATGCCCCATGCAGCACCAAGACACCCCAAATTTCACCTTGATTTCAGAGTTCTTCCAAGCCCCCTCAGCATACCACCATGACCTTTTTACAGGTACTTATTTTTCGTCTTGGCATTTACCGCTCTGCCCTGCCCCTTCCCCAAGGTGTGCCTCATCCCCAACTACACTGTAAACTCTCCACCTCTTTGTTGGGCTTCCTGCTGCATTCACTGGAGGTGTAGCTCTGCTCATGAACAGCTCCATCAAAACCTGTGGAATGTGCAAGATCTCCCAGTGCACTTCAAACCGCAAGTGGGTTATGATCCACCAGAGAGTGGGTGGGTCAACTTAGTAGGAAACAGCATTTTTAGTGAAAAGTAACAGAACAGACAATAAAAATGTTAGAGGTTGTACCAAGCAAAGGGAGGTAGGACTTCAAGAACTGAAATTGGATTTTTATGTACATATTATGTACATAGTCATGATAATTTTTTTTCTTTTACATTTATTTACAAGAGGTGGGCACATGCAAGAATAATTTTTTCCTTCTACCATGTGAATCCCAGAGATGGAACTCAGATCATCAGGCTCAGCAGCAAGCACCTTTACCCACTGAGCCACCTCTCTGGCCCTAAATTTTTATTTGTTAATGTAGGTTACGGTCAAAACTGTACATAAAACATTGTTCTACAATGAGCAAAGGAGTTCAACCTCTGCTCTGTGCAATTCTTTTTTGGACAGTTACTATAAGGACAAAAATGTAACGAAAAAAGTATATGTGGTGACTCAGGCCTATAATCCCAGTGCTTGGAAGGAGAAGGCAGGTGGACTTCGTGAGTTCAAGGTCAACCTGGTTACAGAGTAAGAAGGATAGAGGAAAGGGGGAGGATATAAAGAAAAAAGGAGGAAGGAAGGAGGGAGAAAAGGGGAGGGAGGGAAGAGACAAAGGGAAGAATGGATGGGAGAAGGCAAGGCAGGCAGAAAGAACGAACAAAGAAAAGGAGGAAGACAGAGAGGGTTAAAGAGGGCGAGGGAGGGAGGAAGGAAGGGAGGGAGGGAGGGAGGAAGGAAGGAAGGAAGGAAGGAAGGAAGGA